ATTATACATTTATAAATATTTATTATTTTTATTATATTGACCTTTCAGTCATGTACTGAAGTTGTAATGATGTGGCACACATGCACTTATATTACCATATCCAATAATATAAAACTGACCTTTAGTCTTTATAAAGTGACTCGTCTTGGCTGTGTTTTAGTAGACTAGTGTTTTGTAAAATACAGTTCACATTTCAATTATTATACATTATATATGTATATAGATTATTGCTATTTAGAAAAGTTCTTATACTTAAAACACTAAATAAAGAAGTAAATCAAACAATTATGTCTTCTAGTTATGACCTTTGTACTTGGTTGCATGTGGGAGAAATGAAACAAAATAATCGTTTTTAGGTTTTTTTATATATATAGTTGAATAACAAAAATCATAAATTACTATATCAATACCAAAGAATTCCATTATAATTTATAAAGCTTAGCAACTAAGCTGTATTTTATTCTAAAAAAATGAGATTTTGAGCACAACTTACCTCCTTGAAATCTTGATTTGAAAGAAAGAAATGGCATCAAAACACATTAAAATAGCTGAGAAAGCCCCTAGGAGGACATTCTGAATTTCCAATTGGTTATTCATGTCATATATAGAAGTAAGTGTACATAAGCATTTCCAAAAATGGAAAGAGGTTGGTGGGATGCCACTGTGTTTGATTTATTACATGAGCAATATACTAGCAAATTGAAGAGATAAGAGACTCTTATTTTATGTTCTTGTCAGTATCGGTAATTTGAGTTCCTAATTTGTACGAAACTACAGACTTAGTGTTTTGACATCACAAACATCTAATTTGAACCAGTGCTGCATTCAACATACCACATGACACACAAAATATCTATGATTAACCATGTTTTTTTAATATTTCTTTTTAATTAAGAAATTAAGGTATATAATACTAAAATTTGAATTATAATCTACAATGTGATACCAAACTTATTGGCATACATTCATAAAATAGTAGATCAATAAAATTTTGAATGCAAGTCTACAAATGTGATGGCATGGCATACCCTTTGACCCCTGACCATAGGAAGACCCATAGCAAGAGGTTTAAGGGGTCTCTTTGGTGGACCCTCACAGTCTATCCCAACCTTATTTCTGTTACTCCATCTCCTTCAGTTTCAACCCTATTTTTTCCCTTCTCAGCTTTCCATCCCATCTGATCTACTCTCATACATTGATCTTTTCTCTGATATGACTTCCCAGGATTGTCCAGTCTACCTCCCTGATCCTGTAATTGTCCTTTTGTTCCACTCCTGTTGCTCTTCTACTTCTTCTGTGTGCTGATATATACAGGACATACTTATCACATCACCTTGGTCTTGTCATCATTTCCCTTTGATTTCATTACATTGAAATATATTTCTTCTATTTTACAGGAAGGTTCTCCAGTGATTTTTTTTTTCTGTCTTGGGTTTTAGGGCAGCATTTCCTCCTCCTGTCTTTCCCAGTGTCACAGTTTCACATCTTTTCTACCATCTTTCATTCCTTCCTTATCTATTGCAGCCTTCCTACTTCTTGCCTAGTTGGATTATCATTGTGGTTCTCCATGCTCTTACCCGAGTCTCTCGAACCTCTAGCACATGTTTCTGCTCTCCCTGGACATGTGAATCATTTTCCTACTTGCAGTTGATAGCTGTTATCTACACCCTTGTTTCCTTGCCTTTTCATTACCTCTCTTCACTTCTCCATTGTCATGCCCAGTCTTTTCTTCCCTCATATTTATGGCAGGGGAAGTAATCACTTCCATTCTCCCATATCTGATGGGGTCAAAATTTCTTCAGCAGTTGTAATGGATGGTACCTCTCACTTACCTGCCCCAGTTATAACAAATGAAATATGTCTAATTTTTAATGGCTTATTTCCGAGGAAATTTCATTAAATTGTGAAAAATAAGCCCAAGCCAAGCATAGTATCTTAAGGAAACAAACAGTCAATGACCTGTTACACTTTTAAACAGAACAGCAATCTTGACCAATGACTTTCAGTGTTTTCATTTTAACCAGCTGAGCCTGACAACAAGTACAATAAATTACAGCCTATAGTAAGACTAGAGTTGCATCGGAACTCTCTCACATACTACTGTACCGTAACGTACACAATGCATGAACGCTGCACATTTATACATGTCTATATAGACACACACACCACTGATATGTATTGTCTTCCTACTCATAGCTTGTATTGACCCGGAGGAAGGCAAAGCTAACCTTATTTTATTTATTTTTATTCTGTTTCATACTAATCAGAACTTTCATAAAATTTTGTTTGCAGTTATCATTATTATGCTCTGTTTAATTTGTAGATTTTCCTTCTTTTCTCATGGCAGCTAGGCTTTCTGTATTTCCTAGATTCCATTGGTCATGTCTGTTTAATGTTATCCTTAGGCCTATACATGTATAATTGAATAGGGGTCAGTGTTTCAGCTGTTGACAAATAAGGATTAAAATTCAGGTTTTTGATTTTATAAACTTGATTGTTTTAGTTCTTCCCAATGGTTTATTGGTAAGTTGAGACAGCCTTGTTAGTTTTATTGTTATAAGCATCTATATTAGAAATTAATCTCACTAAATATTTGTGCTATCGACATTAATTTTCTAATCACAATAGTGAACTTTTCCTAACATTTTTAGACCTTTTTTTGGATTATACTAACATTTCTTTTGGAAAAAGTACAATCTACTTTAAAAAAAAAATGGACCAATAGCTATTTTTATGAGGGTTCAAGTTTTCGAGTTCATAGTTGGGAATTTACCGATGATTTTGGTTGAGAATTGGAGTCAACATTACAGGTGTAGTGTGGGCATAGATAAGTGTACATTAAACTGCAAGGCTGTTTTGAGTAAGGGTCTATCCATCAGACAATGGAAGGGTGGGGTTAAGTTGGTCATCTAAGGAAGATTTTAGTCTTTTCGGATGACCATTAAGGTCAAGTGATGATAATGGAAAAAGCCTGCACCAGAATTGTGCTTTTGCTTGCTTCTCTGGCTAATGCTTGCTGGCTTTTAAAAATAGGGTTTTGCAGTTACCCATTGCACTGTTTTTGGTAAAGGACCTTTCCAGACTGAAGGATCAGTGAGTTTCTGGGTATCTCCTGCACGAAATCTCGCCCTCCCTTTCGAGTGGAGCATGGTAGATCCTTGCCATTTACTAGCTTTTAGCCACTGGGTTGGTGGACCATGGAGAATCCTCACCAATTGGGAACACCCCTCAGCATAGAGGCAGGGATGTTTCCAGAGTGTAGTATGGACCACCTCAACCTGTCTAGATACATCACAATCTGTTATTTATATTTCATAATATTCAACTGGGATGCATTGCTTATTAACTACTTGCACAGATGGCGATGAGCCTCTAGATAAAATCTGATGGTTGAGTGGTGGTTTCATAAGTATTTTTATTTAGTATCCACTGTGGTGCTCTCCTCCTGCCCTTAGTGTCTGATGGTTGAGGAGCTGTACACAGATAATTTATGCATGTCCCCTTCTTCCACAGTTGGTATTGACCCACACAGACGTGCTCCAATCTTACTACACAGATTGGCCTTTCTGACAGCTTGTGTGCAAGCTCTCTGCCTGACCTTGCAACACCTTTCAGGTTTCTTGCCTCTCCCTATCCTTCTCTTGGGTGAAGAGTATGTTCTGATTGAGATGAGATGCAGTCTCCCACAGTGTGCTTCTATGAATCCCCTGCCATAGGAGGTTGCACCCCATGGGCTTCCTTTTAGCTCTATTCAAAGGAGACTCATCTAGGAAATTTCTGCACTGGTCCCTTCACCATTTCAATGTGGGATTCTAGCTAATCTGTACACATTGTATCAGAAGCCCACATTTTGCTTACTTAAAAATGTATTTCTGATAGTTATTTACCTTCATGCACATTTGCACCATTCCTCCCCACTTTCCTGGTGCACTTTTCTTGTTTGCCTCGTCAAAGAATGAAGATTTTTGTGCATGAGTGTAGATGGAGCAGTTGTGCAAGGAGGTGTGCCATGCTCTTATTGATGGAGGGCATTCCTGTATGATATGTTATCACACAATAACCCAAATTGTGTTGTCACGTGAATATTACGTCGGAGTTTAACAAGGCTAGTGGCATGCAAATCTGTAAAGCAGATTTCTGCAACTCCAAGAGGAAATAGCTAATCTGTGCATGGAGGTGAGTATCTATCAGAAATACAAATTCAAATAAAGAAAATGTTAACATGTGCATCAAACAATCTTTTGTGGCATAACTTTTTAACTCAGTAAATTAAGTTAGAAAGGGCCATGTTAAAACACCGGACATTTAAAGAAATGTTATCCAGAATTCAAAATCCTATTTTATTCATATGTTTTTAGGATTGTGCCTATGAAGCTGGTTGTAATGTGACAGGGGGACAGTCTGTGCTAAATCCATGGATTACAATAGGTGGTGTTGCCACTAGTGTTTGTCAACCAAATGAATTTATTATGTGAGTACAATATGTATTTTATAACTGTTATATAAAGTACTGCAAGTAGTTTAAAGCTGTGTAGAATTTCTTAGAACTTTCTAAGAGATTTAAAATTTTAATGTGCTGGCCCTGCTTCTACTAAGAAATATTCAATATCAGTTATCCAAACTTTCAACCTTTTTTTTTGAATTGGAAGTATAAAGTATTGATTTATATTCTCTCAAAGTTGCCACGGAGATCCTTTGTTACAAGTCCAGGAAGTAAACACTGAAAATCTGCTTGACCAATGGCTAAGGCTTGGCTCTGCTTGTTAGATCAGGACTATACTAGAACTAACTTTGTCAATGTATTATTGTCACATTTATTTTGAGATCAAAATACTGCTCAAAGTTGGTGATGAAAATACATACAAAGTGCTCATGATTTGACAAAATCGTCATGCTTGAACTTGAAAGTGGTAGTGCAAAGGTTGAAAATATGGCAAACAAACTCAATGGCTTTACCTCAAAAGAATAATGACCTTGAAAAATTTCAATGTCCTGTTGTTGAAAGTTAGTGTCTTTCCTACTGATAAAATTGTACAAATATAGGAAATACATAATATAGAAGTAGTAATATTAATGTTAATTCTGCATGAATATCTAAATATTAATTTAAAGTGCACTTGATATATTTTGAAAATAATCCATTTTCTACCCTCTTTTGCTGCATCTTCCAGACTATATGGCACTGGTTGTAGTATCGACTGTTCCTGCCAGATTTTTTCATCCTGATCTATTCACATCCATATATAACAAGGTTTCGCTTGGAGAGTTAAATAGTGTTATAACCTGATCGGTGCAGAAGCATTTCTTTTTTCTATTACATAAAGTTGATTCTACCATTTAAAAGTACTAAGAAATGGCAATTGAAAATACTTCAACATTAACATTTTCACAGCTTTTAACATATCTCCACAGTTTCTCTCTGTGGCTTTATGATAAAGCAAAAAAACAATAACAAATATTTACTCAATTATATACTGATTAATTAATACATACTGATTATACTTTTTAGATAAACTTAAAATTATGAAAACATTTCTCACAATAGCATAAACTGCACTGGCTACTAGAGTTTACATTTGTAATTAAGTCTGGTATCAAACTGCAGATTATAATTCAAATTTTAGTATTATACCTTACTCAATTCCTTAATTTAAAAAGTAAATAAAAAGTTAATCATTGATTTTTGTGTGTCATGTTTGTGAAGTCAAAATACAAAGTCTGTAGTTTCATACGACTTAGAAACTCAAATTACTAATATTGACAAGGTAGAATATAAAATTAAGAATGTCTTATCTTTTCAATTTGCTAGGATATTGCTCATGTAATAAATCAAACACGGTGGCACCCTGCCAACCATTTTCCATTTTTGGAAGTGCTTATATACATATATAATATATATTAATTTAAATTTGACTGTATTTTACAAAATACTAGTCTGCTAGAACACAGCCAAGACAAGTTACTTTGTACAGACCAAAGGTCAATTTTATGTTATTTGATACGGTAACATGAGTGCACGTGAGCCATATCATTATAACTTCTGTATTGTTAGCCAGGCACGGGT